CCCCAAAACCCCAAAACCCCAAAACCCCTATTTATTCATAGAATATTGAAATTGAGAATATTAGAACTTATTATCTCTAATCCTGATATTCTTAGCTGTCCCAGAAATACTCTTTGTGCACTTCCTGCTCCTAGTGAGGCAACTAGGAACCTTGAGAGTTGCTCAAGGTTCCTGCTTTGAGTACTCCATCAAGTGCCGACTTGAGTGAAAGTTGATCTGTGGGTCACTAGGCACAGGAGTTTTACAGCCTAAAAGTTATTATTCAGCGATACCATCATAAAGCTTTGGGATGTTAGTCATCGGATTGTACCTATCTAGAGAGCTTATATTTTCACGGATATTTCAATGGGAACTCCTTTTATTCTTGAAATTAAAATTTTCTCCAGACTCCCTCATCTTGTGCTTCTTATTCATGATTGACTTATTAAAGAACAAAGTGCGAAGAGATCTGCCATGGCTCTCTTTAATTTGAGCCCTATTCTTCTTATTACTAGTGTACTCTCTTGCAAATGATTTTAGCTTAGACTTTACCCTATCATCAAGCTTGAAATAAGAAGAGGATCTATTCTCTTTCTTAGGGTATGAGAAAGAAGCTATATCAAACTCACTATTTTGATTTTCTTTGTTGATCATTTCAACACCTCTACTGGGAACTATAGATTCTGTCTCTAATGGGTAGGAGGTATTCCCAAGTTCTTTCTTAAGCAAATCTTCACTCTCATCGTCAAGGTTCTTGAGGTTTATCCACTTAAGTAATGTACTCGCTTGATTAAACAGGAATTCATATCTTGTGTTTAACAAATTTTCACTCCTTGAGGGGTCTGGGAGAAGATTTTTCAAACATTCAACAGTTATTATAACTGACAGTTCAAGTTGTTTGAATAATAAGTTCATGGCTACAATATTGTCATTAGTCACGGCTCGATCTGCTTTAGTCATCTCTAGACATTCTACATCTTCTTTTTGTGCTTTAAGATTTAGACAGGAGTTCAGCTCCTCTCTATCAATAAAATTTAATTTAATATGGTGCATTACTTTGTTCTCAATTTCTATTGCTATTTTCCCAACACTTGAGGAGATATTATCCTTCATATCCTCAAAGTCAGTCTCGAGCTCTTGAATCTTTAAATGTATGTCATTTTCTTTATTTCTTATCATCTTCTTCAGAGTCATGGCTGTCTCCTCTGTCTTTGTTATAGGAGTGTAATCCTGTAGCTTAGTATAAATCTGGTCAATTGAAAATTTAGAGGCTTTTTCTAGCAAGACTTCATCAAATCTCCTAATAATTTCCTTATTCTTGATCAATTCGAGATTAAAATCAGCAACTAGGTTCTCTCATGATGCCATTTTGGGTTCCATTTCTTCCTTGAAGCTATTGATATGGTCAATGTTTCAGCATTTTCTAAAATTATCCCATATTTCTTTCAGCTTATTTATTCATCACTGCAAATGTAGGGTAGCTGCCTAATTTTTGGGTGAAAAGAGTAATCCTTCCTTCAAGTTCTTTGAGATTTTTAATCTCGTCTCTGACTCTTTTGATACTTTTCTGGAGCTTGACATCCTGACGGTTCATGTCATACTCGAGGTCTTTCTTTGTCACAAGTCTAGCAATTGTTTTGTCAATTTCAGACTTGAGTTTGCCAAAATCAGCCTGTACATCTGCAGAAGTTGCTCTTAAACCGATATTATTTTTGATGAGTTCAATATTCTTCTCAATTTCAATAACTCTGTCCTTTTCAGCATAATTTTTTATGTCGTTATTTAACGAAACGAATTTGGAAATAGGAGTGTAATTCATGAACTTATCATCAAGTCTATCTGTGATCTTAAGATCAGCTTTCTTGGTAAGTTTATCTCTGATCATATCGACTTCAAACTCAAGATCTCTGTGCTGCTTCTCAGTGGATACCACAAGACTTGTATTCGAATCAACAGTATTAATCAACCTCCTCACCGAATTTTCAAGCTCAACGAACTTCTCAGGTGTGACATTTTTCAAACGGTACTGGTCAAAATCTTGTTGTTGGACACATTTCTCAGTCATTAGTCTAAAAATCGTCTCAAAAATGGTCTCTCCAGATCGCCTATACATCAACACAACAAGTACTTCTTCTCCTTAACCTGTTCTACAAATCCTCTTAGCTCCTTATTTAACGATGGAATTCAGTACGTTTTGGTCGTAGTGGGAGTCAAGGCTGGGTTTTCGCACGCTCATTGATTTTTGGGCTGGGAATTTTGATGGGTGAGGAGAAGGCCTAGAGAGGTGAGGGGCTTTGGATTTACTGCAGATTTTGGGGGTTAGGAGCATCGAAGTTGTCAATGGCGTCTTCCATTGGTGATTTTTGTAATTATTATAGCATATTAGGTGGAAAGGGGTTTTGGGGTTTTGGGGTTTTGGGGTTTTGGGG